ACAATAAGTTATCACTCAGACGTACTACACTACCTGTTTAATTTAACGGGACTTCACTAGCCCATATGGAACAAGTACGTTACTTGGGACTTCACTCGGACAAACGACGTGGAATCCACATAGACGAAAACGAAACGAACCAAATAGATCTTACAAACTGTTATTGACACTATTCGACAGACGATCCAAACTTCCGCTTAACTATAGAAGATCGATAAGTTTCTCAAACCTGGGCTTAGGCATCCAACTCTGGAGTTCAACCATTCCATCTTCCAACGCGTCCTAATGTTCCAGCCAAAAGTTCTAAAACAAATCTTACTTTTTATGTATCCAACCGAGATCTTAATATTCCTTTTGTTTCGGAAGTAGCGAAAACCTATTACAAAAATTCCACCAATGCCTTTCTCCGCCAGCTCAGTTCCACTACCATCCCTGATAATCCCTCCATAGAAATGCCATTCCACGTGATGCCCTACGTAGTGACTAAGAAAATTGAAATTATTTATTCAATATTTAATATTGATTTCTTTTTCGGAATGCTCACCACTCGATCAGGAACTCATGTTTTTCATGTAAAATTTTTCGTTCTTAGAGCATTTTCAGTCTGGTAATTGTTTTACTGATTTTAAAAATCAATAAAAAGAAGATTCAAATGATTGAATATAATAAAAAAAATATATTTTTCATTGTATAAATTCACTTTTCCACATCCTAAATGTATTTGTTAAATGTAAACAATGTTTGTAAATCCCAGGCCCTGAAGATGATCACAATAAAGATCGAAACGTTGGCACGATGAAGAAAATGTTTTTCTGAAACCTACATCACACCAGACCGCATCTCACGATTTCTGAATAATTATCGATCAACGGTCACTAATCACCACACAAATAAAAAGAAGAAAAAACATATGAAGCAATACATTTTTTTTAAGTATACAACAATATACATAAAATAAAATTACTAAATTACATCCAAGATTCAATAAGATGAGCTATAATTGAAACTTTTGCAATAAATCAAAGAAAAGAAAAATTACCTCGGTTTGTGATGATTAATAAAGATTAATTTCCAACAAGAAGTTTGCAAAAAAATCTATGAAAGTTACAAATTACAAGAATCTATGGAATTTTTTCAACAAATTAATAAAAATAAATTTACCATTGAGTGGTTATATGCGCCGACCTCAATAATTGTTGTTGGTAGCTTTGAAGAAAATTAAGAAATATTTTGTCAACCTTATGGATCTCAGGTTGTAAACAGAATTTCCACAACAAATAATTATAAATAAGATTTCAACATGTTATTATTTGATGAAATTCGTGTATGCGTAATTGGAAATTGGGCGACAGCATGACAACAACAGTTGAACCTTTTTATGCAATGAAAATTATTACGAAATCAGCATAACCTTCTGAATCTCTGGCATAAATGGAAAAACCACAATAAGTTGCCTACGAAAACAACAACAAAAATCAAAATTTGTCGAAATTTTTTCTATTAGGATGAAAAAACCACACTGGCATTTACCTTTTCCAAGATCTTAACATAAATGGTAATTTCACGTTTAACGATTCATGAGAAAATTATGCAAAGCAACATACGCCGCGAGCATTGTCAATTACACAAGTTATAAGAGATGCATCCTCACACTAAAAATTGCCTTTGGTGACCCGGCTTGAAGATGAATTCTTATATTGTTTATATTTTTTTCCGCCTAGATCGTAAGAGGTTCTTTTCTAGTTTGACCAGTTTATAAATATTCATGCAGTATTCATGCGTGACATATCACACAATTGAATTAAAGATATAAACACACGCCCGCATGTTCGCGATGCCTTTGAGAGTTATGTAAGTGCCTTTTTGGGAACGGTAAAATTAAAGCTCAAACCGACCGAAACAACTTGTGCAACATGCTTAATATCATCGAAAGTAACTCGTATAGTTTAAAAAATTGTTACGTTTGAAATAAAAAAAATCAAACTATTTTGTTTCTATATATCACATAATGAACACAAGTACAGTAAACAAAAAAGTCATACATCAAATTCATAACAAAAAAAAATAGTAAAGAGTCTATTTTATGTCAAAAAATTGAACGAAAAGAAAGATTATGTTTTATTATACCAACAGAATTTGATTAAATCTTAGTTTGAAAAACTTTTATTATTATAATATAATAAAAAAATCGATCGCTCATTTAGAATAGTAATTATTGTGAACAATAGATGATTTCCATAGTTATATAGTTTTGTCACATAGATTGCCCATAAAGAGAAAACAGATAATGTAAAAACAATAAAAACACAATTATAAAAAAATAGGACAAGCGTCAGAAATTAATAGTTTAAATCAATGAATACTAACTGTTAAATTAAATTTCTAAAATTTCATACTGCTAAAATCAAACCTCAAAAAAGAACTTTAAGCTTAATTAACTGTAATATAGAACGATTTCATTATGTTTTGGTAAAAAATACAATCCTTGTTTTAAAAAAAAAGTTTAGATTTTTACAAACATACATCTTGAGAATAGTGATAAAGGTAAAGCGAAAGAGAGCAAGAAAAAAATGGAAAGGGATTTGTGGAGAATAATGTTGCAAAGAGAAAAATGAGAATGAAAACTATGGAACATAAAGAAGGGAATGTATAGAAAGAAATAGAGAATGAAATAAGACAGGTGAAAAAAGACGGCGAGAGAGAGAGAGAGAATAGATAAAGAAAGAGAGATAGTGGAGAATCAAGTAAAGAAGGGAAAAAATCGACATTTTAAAGAGAGGGAGAGTGAACAGTAGGAAAACAGACAGTTTAAGAGAAAGTGTGTTTGTGTGTATAATCAAGCAAAGAAGAGATAAAACAATTGAAAAAATATCGAGTTTAGAGATTGAAAGATGGATAGAGAGAGAAAGAGAGAGAGGGAGAGGGAGGGAGAGAGAGGGAGGGAGAGAGAGGGAGAAAATGAGTGAGCGAAACTTAACTGGAGAAAGAACAAGCTAGGAAAAACGCGTTTAACAAATAAAAAGAGATAGATATGGTTTATTTACCAACGCAAAGTTAGGTCTCGGGGGCATTACCATGTTACTACCACTTTATATAGATACAATTAATGTACGTAATAGAGAAAGACAAAGACAGAAAGACACACACAGAGAGAGAGAGAGAGAGAGAGAGAGAGGAAAGATAGAAGATTGAAAGAGAAAAGAAAGGTTAAGTAAAAATCGAGAGTTTATGAAAGAGAAGTAGAGATAGAGATATAAAACGAGAGACATAGAGAGAAAGGGAAAAAGAAGAGAGATAGAGCGAGAGAGAGAGAGAGAGAGAGAGAGAGTGATTGGGTAAAGAAAAAACTCGTGAGTTTAAGAAGGAAAAATAGAGACAGAGACATAAGAGGGAGAGAGAGAGAGAGAGGAAAGATAGAAGATTGAAAGAGAAAAGAAAGGTTAAGTAAAAATCCAGAGTTTATGAAAGAGAAGTAGAGATAGAGATATAAAACGAGAGACATAGAGAGAAAGGGAAAAAGAAGAGAGATAGAGAGAGAGAGAGAGAGAGAGAGAGAGAGAGAGAGATTGGGTAAAGAAAAAACTCGTGAGTTTAAGAAGAAAAAATATAGTCAGAGACATAAGAGGGAGAGAGAGAGAGAGCGAGAGAGAGAGAGAGAGAGGAAAGATAGAAGATTGTAAGAGAAAAGGAAGGTTAAGAAAAAATTGAGAGTTTATGAAAGAGAAGTAGAGACAGAGGAATAAAACGAATGAAATAAAATCGAGAGAAAGGGAAAGAGAAGAGAGAGAGAGAGAAAGAAAGAAAGAGAGAGAGAGAAAAGATAGAAGATTGAAAGAGAAAAGAAAAGTTAAGAAACATTTGAGAGTTTATGAAAGAGAAGTAGAGATAGAGAAATAAAACGAGAGAAATAGAGAGAAAAGGAAAGAGAAGAGAGAGAGAAAGAGAGAGAGAGGGTGAGTGATTTGGTAAAGAAAAAACTCGTGAGTTTAAGAAGGAAAAATAGAGACAGAGACATAAGAGGGAGAGAGAGAGATAGAGGAAAGATAGAAGATTGAAAGAGAAAAGAAAGGTTAAGTAAAAATCGAGAGTTTATGAAAGAGAAGTAGAGATAAAGATATAAAACGAGAGACCTAGAAAGAAAGGGAAAAAGAAGAGAGATAGAGAGAGAGAGAGATTGGGTAAAGAAAAAACTGGTGAGTTTAAGAAGGAAAAATAGAGACCGAGACATAAGAGGGAGAGAGAGAGAGAGAGAGAGAGAGAGAGAGAGAGAGAGAGAGAGAGAGCAAAGAGACAGGGTGAGTAGAAAAATAATTTACGAGAAAGGTAGATAGCTGGAGAGACAAAGAAAATGCGTTTTTTTTTACTTTTTGTCATAACTTAGTCATTTTTTGACCAATTTAAAATCCGATTGAACCATTATTTTCAGCATAAAAAATCCTTTAAAATGATGTGACAGGATGTACAGGGTCGTATTTGACATTTTGAAGTTGAACTAGACCTGGGGTACCCGGTATGATTTTTCTCCAAAGCAAGGTAAAAATTTGAAAATAGACTAAAAATATTGAACAGTACTTTTTAAAGCGTCATAAAAAAATATGTATATGTAAACAATTAGTTATCACTTTTTTTTCATTAATATTATTTTAGAATTGATATTTCATAAATTCATATCTAGTTTGCGTTCATTGTATAGATAACGTATAGACAAATTAAGTAAATTTTTACTGTACATATCTATTTTACTTTATATTACTGCTTCTTTTCAAAATTTCTCGACAGTACTTCCTCGAAGCGTCATGCCATCTCAGAATTAAAAACCAGACACGATAAACCGAAAAGTTAAAAAAAAACGGCAGAACAATACAGGAACAATAACAACATAGCATAAGGGAGCAACCTCGGGCAAGGTCGCGAAAGATGTGGTGGCGAAAGGGGCGGCGGTCTGGAGGGTGAAAGGGAGAGGGGCAGGATGAACATATAAGAGTAGTAGACGACCAGAACAACGCAACAGTTCGTCATGGCGAGGCCCGCCGTCACCGCTCTGGTTAGTGTTGTGATAACGTCAATGTTCATGTTTATGTTACTAGTGTTACCATGACATACTCCGTCTCTTCCACCTCCAAGGATTATCGAGAGAAGGCGGAGGACCACGTGTGCTTTAAAGCCCAAAATTATCTTCTTTATAGCATTTCTAATAGAAATTCCTATTTAATTTTTAGGCTTTTAGGCTCATTTTCGAACTTTTCGGACATACAGTGTAAAAACCCTTAAACTCAATGTCTCGAGATTCTAAGAATAAGATAAATTTATAAATTACGTTCTTATCTATGTATTGGTTATATTTTAGATCTGTTGTTCTTAATTATACATATTTTTATACATTTTATTTGACTGTTTGGTTTTCTTTGGAAATATCTCTGTGTTATTAAAATTATGGTAGCAATAATTTAAAAAATTTTCGTTATTAGATAAACGATAAATTTTTAATTGAATGAAACCTTCCTGGGACGACTTTTTATTCAATTAAAAATTGTTTTATTTATGAAATTTAAAGGACATAAAAATACAATTCTGATCAATTTATCAGTCTTCCATTATATGGAAAACGATAAAAATGGAAAGTTTGGTAAATTGTTTGTTGAGGGTGTTAAAAAAAATATTTACGTAAATTAAATTTTTTCTAGGCAAAGTCAATTATAGACAATTAAATTTTGAATTTTTTGAAAACTACAGATCCAGGAACTTTTTCCAAACATTCTTTGACATAGTAAAAAGTTGATTTTTAATTAATTTTAATAGTTTTTTTATCACGCTTTTGGTTTTTCAGAAAAACATACCAGGGGTAGTGTTTTAACAAGATACACCTGAATCAGCAGAATTTGCTGAATTTTAGTATAGGCAATGACCGATGATGTACAAAAATTCGACCTGATTTGACTGTTTATCGTTAGATTATGTTTTATTTTGTTGTTTCTCGAGACAGCATGCGAAATATTTACATAGACAAGAAGATTTTTTTTCCATCAATTTACACTTTTTAACATAATTCTTCTTCTCTTCCAATATGCTAATTTATCCGAGTTTTCATTTTTTTCGTTACAGGCGGTTATTTGGCTCGTAGTAGCCCAAGTCCTCTCGACCCCCGTCCCGGAGCCGGACCCGAAAGCAGAAGCCAGCCCGAACCCGGTTGCAGCCCCGGGGGAAAGGCAGAAGAAACAGTAAGTTTTCACTTTTCTTTTTTTAATATCGAAATTCAGGGGGGGGGCTCGTGGAAAATCGTCAGTCATCATCAAAATCGCATAAAAGGCTACAAAACCTAGAAAAAAATTGACTTGTACTTCCACTGTGAAATCAAGATCTTCACTGAGACATTTTGGTAATATTTATTGAAAATTCCAATGCCAAAAGAAAACCATCCTCGATTATGGACCACCGTGGGCGCACATGATTTAGATCTGGAATTTTTTGACAAAGTAAAAAAGAGATAAATACAACCTTTCACTTATTTTTATATGTTTCTTAGTAAATTGAATACAACTCTATAATAAAAAGGATATCTGTGAGAGTTAGAACATAAAAACTCAAACCTGAGCCGGATTTTTATGTGAAGCAGCGAACCACGTGTGAAAGTCTGGACGTTGAAGCATAAAATTGAACACATTAGGTTTAAAGCCATAAGAATTACATCTTATTCTTAAGAGAGCTGTTTAAAAAGAATTTTGAAAATGTAAGAAATTTTTTTTACATTAAAAACTTTTTGTACTAGGCTTCGCAATTTGGCTGATGAATGTAGTTCAAAGTCTTTATATTTTTTTTCAAATTCGTAGCTCTATTCATGCTAAGATTTCACAATTAAGGAAAAAAGAAACTAATTTCTAAGATTTTTTATACAAATAGATGTTTTGTATCTAGTCCAATTTTGCTCACCTAAATTTACTCCTTTTCGTATATCACAACCTGCACTTAAAATTGCAAATCAAGGAATAAAAACAAGCATGCTAGATTTTTAACTAAATTCACCGTATTTTCATTACTTTTTTCATTTATTTTTAATAAAAAATACGCGTAGTACATTGTGGCATCAGGAAATTTTATTCAAACTTTTAATACTACCCCAAATAATTTTCAACGAAGAAAAATATATAATAATGAGATCTTTATGTCCACATATACAAAATAAATTTTCCTCTATTTTACAAATAAGATTATTTCCAGTTATAAAGGTTTGCAACCCTAAACTGTCTTTTGCCCACCAATCAGGATCTTGATCAAGTTGCTAGAATTAATCAGAAAAATCACAAACGGAAAAATACAGAAATAACTTGGAAAAAGGATTTTCTGTGAGGTCACAACAGAACGACAATTCTTTCAGTTTTTGCCGAGCTTTCGACGATTATTAAACAAAAAAATTAAAAAATTATATTTTTCTTACTTTAATTCGATAAGAGTTGAAATATGTCTTGAAAAAAAAATGCGTTTTTTAGATTATTTAAAATTAGGTAAAGCTCAGTATGTAAATATTAACAAGATGAAGTATGGAATTAATTAAAAGCAATAAAAACAACATAATATAAAATTTAAAAAAATATAATCTCGAAAGCTCGGCAAAAACTTAAATTGTCGTTCTGTTGTGACCTCACCGAAGATCCTTTTTCCAAGTTGTTCACCATCAGGTCGATCCATCATCTCATCTTTAAATACAGAAATATTTTAAATTTACGGTTATTTATTCGAACTTCTTTCTTGGATATGTTTTTCACACAGATTTTTTGTAATTTATAAAATTTTGCATCTCTAACTTTCCTACTACTCGTGAATCGCGATCTGCACAAGGCCTAAACTGCAAAATCAATATTTTCAAACCAAACACGCCCGATTTGTTATTAGATTCACTATATTTGTATTACTTCATGGTTTTATTTTTTCAAATACGCCAGATTAAGTTGATAAATTGTAATTTCACAAATCAGAAAAATAAAGAAACATGAGAACTTAATGTTCTATATTCAAAATATATTTTTTCTCTGTTTTCAACATGGGTTTTTTTTTATAAAGTTTTTTTATAAAGTAAATCGAACACAAAAAAGCACCAACCATCATTTTAACCACCAGATTCAAAAAATTTCATTCAATGGTTTATATTACAAATATTCAAACTAACGACTTCAATAATAAAATTGTAATAATTAATAAGACTTTTTTCAAACTCTTCCCAGAAAAATAAATAAATATTTGCAATTTACTATTATATGTTCAAACTGCTTTCTTGATATATTGTAATGATAGATGATTTGTAGCTTATGAAAATTTGCACCCCTAAATTTCCAACTGGTTGCGGCTCACGACCTGAACCAGGCATAAATTGTAAAATCGTTATTTTTTTTAAATCACGCCAGACTTTTCATTTGATTCGCGGTATTTTCATTAATTAAATTAATTATTTGTTGATTAAAAATACCCCAGACCAAAAGCATAAATCGAGACGAGGTATTTTAATGAAAACTGTTAATAGAATCTCGAGTAATTTTCGACCAACTATAAAAAATTCACAAACAATAAAAATGAATAATAATAAAGTTTACTGTTTATACTTTTTCCTATAATGCGCACATGAGATTATTACTATTTTTAAAGTTATTCAATTAAAGATTAAATTTTCTAGCCTTGGCTTGTCTACTTTTCATAATTAACTGGACTAAACAGGTTGAAATTAGCAGAAAGGCGTTCTTTTCTTCTTCCGGGCCAAGTGAGAGCTTTCCTGATCATGACGTGCTTGAACCATGCCGATTACACTGACGTGATGCATTCTCCGCTATTTTAAAGACTTTCTCGTCGGACGTTGCAAATTTGGCGAGAGACTTACAATTGCTTTCTACTATATTTATCCTTGTCGAAATCTTTCACCCTGATCTCTCGTGTTAATTTTGAAGAGAATAAATCAAAAATTGCACGAACTAGCAAGCTTTGGGTTACATAGTCCTTCTTAACCTGTTGATCTTGATACCAATTATTTAAAAAAAATTATGATACTCAAAATTTTCCTGTTTGTAGGTCTTTTTAACATGAGCCTTTTTAACAAATTAGGGAAACTAAACATATGGATTCTACGCTATTGAATATTACCAAACATCACAATGTTCTCACATTATGAGATGTCTTCCAAAAGATAAAGCTTCTTAGAAAACGATCATGATGATCGACAAATTTTTAAGTTATGTGACATTCGTTTGTTTAGGATCAAGACTAACCCTTTCTAATATGTTAACTTTCTTCTAAAAACAAGGTGGGCTCATTATTTATGTTAAGGACACTTAAAAAAGCTTCAGTTTGTTTGTTAAATATTTGCCCAAGTCGTGTCTGGCTTTGGCTCCGGGCATAGGTGTTGCTCTAGGTGAAAAGTATGTTTCACTCATTCTAAAAAGCCCCAATGACGTAAGGAACAGTTCACACCGAAATGGTTTTGCAACAATTAAAGTTGAATATGAGGATTGTCGGCAAAATCGTTACATAAAAGACGGAGGGGGCTTTACTTTGAACCTGCGCCCTGACAAAAGTAGCGTGATGACTTTCTTCGCTTCCTCGTGGGATAATGGGAGCTAACATGAAATGCATTCTTCGGTTCGGTGAATTTATTAATAATAAACATACAACTAAACTCAAAAACAATCAATCTACCTACTAAAATTTTATCAAAATTAGCCTATTGCCAAATTTAGTAACAGGCATTATTCCTTTACTCAATTCACTTGTTTCGCTATTTTGTATTTTATATTTTTTGAATCTGACACATAGTACATGTTGAAATGACCTTAGAACGAGCTTAAATTTTATTTATGGCTGATTTATCATATCACCCAATGGTTTGAGAGTCCGATGGTGGACTATCACCCAAAAAAAATATATTACCTGCATACTGTAGAGCTACAAAATAATTGTATATAATTTACAATATTTATAGATGTAGAAACAACCATGATTCCCATAAAAATCGGAACATAGGATCCAACAACACAATCTCGAACCAAAGGACTTTATGTCGGGTGTCATGCCTACTCCTTCCCAGTAAGATACTCCTTGACCAAATGTGGCACACTGAGCAACCTCTTTACAAGCGGAGGATCTGCGTCCATGCCCGTGTGTCAATCGGGTATGGCCTATCCTCAAACGAGTAAGCACGTTGCGTTTCAAACCTTCTGTGGGGCATCGTTCAGTCGTGCTCTTAACAGGCAAGAGCTTCTCGGATGATCATTGCTGCCAACGATATTTACTTCTTCTTCTTTATTATTCGTATATTATTAACATATTGATTAAGTGCCGGGAAACTGTACACTAGTAATGCACAAACTGGCCCTGTACTTAAAAACACCCAACGTAGATAAGACAAGGTATGCGACTCATCTCAAGTCGATGATAACTCCATCGAATTTATAAATAGATTATAAAAGGCGTTTTGTAATTGTAAATTTTACGATCGAAAGTTCCAACAACCACCGTGAAAGCAGGAATGTGGAATGTTTGATTCTTCCAGGATTGCGCAACTGCGACCCAGTGGCCGGAATGGGCCAAGCAGTTTAGCCAGCAAGGGCAACACGTAACGCGTCCGAAGTTCAATGTTATTAGAACATGCTAAAAAAAAAGCATCAAATCGGTAAATTTGTGTTAAATTAGACTGTTGTAAATAAAATAACAAAAGCAAATCCAAGTAAGACCAAAATATTGGTCAATCTAGACAATCACAATAAGGGTTAATAAACATCTAACATTAAACAAGTACAGAAAAGAGCGAGAATCCTTTTAGTTGAGGTCACTGGTTTGACATGGCACATGACAATACAAGTTCATAAGTCTCTATAAACTAGTCGGTATAAGACTAGTCAAAAACTTAAAACCAATTTTCATACGAGTTTGAAAAATTCTGCGTCCTCGGATGGATAAGTCCTCCGCAGACAACAAGGATAAACGTACCAATATTTCAGATTTCATAATCCATTAGCATGATAACTAAAAAAGTGAACATAGTTAAAAATAATCTTTAAAAAATTATGAAAACGAGAACTATTTTTGATATTCTGGAGTCCGTTAAATTAAAAAAAAATTTCAAATGCTCAGCGAGAAAAGCAAAGTGTGAAACATTGTTTATAAGTTACGCTTCTTTTGACAACTTTCGCCCGATAATTGCATTAACGAAAGCATTATCCATGGTTATTATTGAAAATATCTTGAGGTACTGTAGCAGAAATAAAAAATCGATATTATAAAGAAAGAAAGAAAATTTTTATGTTCTATAATGGAAAGTAATTCAGTTTCATAAATTCTAGAGAGAAAAAAATAGGTAGAATCTAGTATCAATGTATTATTTTTTTATTAATCTATTTCAACATGCTTTCCATAAGTAAAAATATTTGTACCAGAAAACAAAAGAAAAAACTGACAACAAAATATGTTTATTATTTATCAGTATTGAAAATTTTTTCGTTATCTACATTTCGAAGTATATTTATATTTAATTAATGTTCTTGGATAGTTGATTCCCCATGGAAAAACATTTTTTTTTATTTAGGAGGAAGTTAAGAGAGGCCAGATACCATCTTTTTAACCAAAAGGGTTTTTTTTATTGTGTAATAACGCATTTAGTAAAAACTCTTAGGTGTCGCTTACTGCTTTATTTCTCGATTCTCCATAAAGCTCTGTTTCATAAGGCTTTCACTTTCGAGATAAGTTTCATATTCACCTTCGACATCTTTCTCACATCTGACCATAAAATTCTCACGGCGTCAGCGTACTTTCCACTGGCGGAAGAACATAACAAATGAGACATTTCTGGAGAAGAAAGTGGCATTTGTGACTCACGGATTTTGGAAAGATTTATTTTTTTGTTACATATTCAATGGGTGCTGTTAAATCCGTTGGGAAAAACAAAGTTGCGCTGACGAAACTGAAGATGCTTAAGTACAAAGCTTAAAATCAAATTATAACAGAAAGTCTCATCCTTGTGAAGATATCTTAAGAAACAACGTTGTCCAAACTTAAAAAAAAATACATTCCCCGAATTTGCACCATCAATCCCTCGGTCAAATTGTGACTTCCGGCCCGATTCCAGAATTGTCACGATCAGCGTGATCTTACCCTTGCCGGCAGATGGGCGTAGAGATACTCGTCCATCCCGGACGTTCACGTACCCGGGATGGAAGACGTGCTGCCGTGGGACGCCGTTTCCGTATGACCCAATCCTAGACATTGCGCAAAACGATTCTCGCACGTGTGATCCCTCCAGCAGGATATGTTACAGCTTCGAAATCTTTCGCAAACGGAGATGGAAAGAATTTTAAATTCGTGAAAGCAGAGGTTGTGATGATATAATGAAATTAAGAAGGTCATAATTATAAAAGTTTTATGCAAGTTTCAAAAATAAACTATTAATTACACTTAAAGCCAGATTTTTAGAGGAAATGAAGATAATAGTATACCTTTTTTCGCAATAAATCTTTTAAATTGCCAATAACTCTTTGATTATCCAAACTTTCCTTTCAAATCAATAGTTGAGAATCGATGGTTTTCATTGTCAAAAAGATGTTCACCAACTCTCGATTATGCGAAGGCTTCAACGCCTCTTGATTCAAAAGGCGAAAGTGCCTGGTGCCGTTTTACCATCGCCTTTTCACGGAGTGTGCGAAAAACCATTTCCGGTATGAATTGAATCGGTTAAATTCCCACGAACGTGACTTTTATAACTGGCTATTAAAAGTTAGCTGCGGACTGGCTGTATTACGGCACCTAACGCTTTCACCTTCACCTTGCTCTTTGCGACTTTACTGTTTGTTTTGCCCAGGTTTCACTCCTAACCTTCTTTTTCCGCTCTCCATATTTCTCAGGCCAGTTTCGTACTGTTGCATTTTTTTCGCGGTAAGATTTTCAAACTTAATTATTTTTGCAATCATAAAACTCAGTAATGAGGATCGATTGATCACATAATCCTAGATGTAATTTAACATCATCCTATTGTTATATTATCACAGTATTATTATTTATATTTATAAGCGTTCAACGCCATTGAAACTTAAAGTAGTAAGCACGACTGTTATGCAGATTCTAATTTTTTTCCTGAAATCGATTGTATGATCTAAGACGGAAAGTTGTCACGAGGAGGTGAGTGGAAGTCACGAAGCCGAAGCTTTCTTCCTAAACGTGAGCTTACCGAACCTGTAATGTGTAATTACAAAAAGCCCGAAAAGAAATTCGCTTTGTACCTGAATATTTCAAATTTAAACAAAAGTTCTTTTTTTTCTGTTCCAGCATTGATTTTGGTTTCGAAGACAGAGGAGATTGGGGCCATCACCCAAAAGGCGTGTGGAAGAAGAAACTGGTCTGGAAAGAGGACTGGAAGCAGGTTTGGAAAACTGTCGAAAAAGAGGTCTGGAAGACTGTCTGGAAGAAAGTACAAGTACCTGTGTGGAAAGAACACCAAGTCCCCATCTGGAAAGAAGTCAAGGTGCCCGACTGGAAAAAGATATCCGTACCGGTTTGGAAAGAGATTAAAGTCCCAGCCTGGAAAGAGGTAAAAGTCCCAGACTGGAAAGAAATCCAAGTCCCGGATTGGAAGGAAATCCAGGTCCCGGATTGGAAAGAAATCCAAGTCCCAGACTGGAAAGAAATACAAGTACCTGATTGGAAAGAAATCCAAGTCCCGGATTGGAAAGAAATCCAGGTGCCCGATTGGCAAGAAATTCAAGTCCCAGACTGGAAAGAAATACAAGTACCTGACTGGAAAGAAATTCAAGTTCCCGATTGGAAAGAAGTCCAAGTGCCAGACTGGAAAAAAATTCAAGTGCCCGTCTGGAAAGAAATCAAGGTGCCGGCTTGGAAAGAAATCCAAGTACCAGATTGGAAACAGATTTGGAAGCCTGAGTGGGTAAAGGAATGGGTCCCTGGAGAGAAGAAATTAGGTAAAGACGAGCACGGTTGGGAGTACACGTCGCATGGGCTTTGGAAGAAAAAGCTCATCTGGAAACCAGAATGGAAGCAGATCTGGAGGACGGAAAAAAAGCAAATCTGGGTGCCCGAGAAGAAATTAGAATGGAAAACCGAATGGAAACAAATCTGGAGGACTGAGAAAAAACAAATCTGGAGAACAGAAAAGAAACAGATCTGGAGAACAGAAAAGAAACAGATCTGGCGAACGGAAAAGAAGCAGATCTGGAGGACCGAGAAGAAACAAATCTGGAGGACAGAAAAGAAGCAAATCTGGAGGACGGAAAAGAAACAAATCTGGAGGACCGAGAAGAAACAGATCTGGAGAACCGAAAAGAAACAAATCTGGAGGACGGAAAAAGTCCAAATCTGGAGGACTGAAAAGGTACAAATCTGGGTTCCGCAGAAAAAGCTCGAATGGAAAGACAAGTGGGTACAAATCTGGAGGACGGAAAAGAAGAAGGAATGGGCGACCGAAAAGAAGCTCGTATGGAAGGAAGAATGGAAACAGGCTAAAGTTCCCGCCTGGAAGCACGTTTCTGTACCCGAATGGAAGAAAGTCTGGAAGCCAGTCTGGGAAAAGGTCTGGGTTCCCATCCATGAAGAACACCACGGCTGGGACTAACTAACACAAACGCTCAAAGTCAACATTACCATTTATAATCTTACCATTGTAATATAGAACTTGTACAGTTATTTTTATTATTAAACTTTTTTAAGATAATTATATTATTAAATAAATCTTGATGATTCAACTTCCTACCAAAATCCCAAAATTTGCCATTTTCCCAATTTAGCAGCAATCCAATGAGGTTGTGTTTACATCAATATTGTTTTAGCTGTTTTATTGCCCTTTATTACTTTATTCAGTTTAAGATTAAAGTCTAGAGAGTTTAAAAATTTAAAAAATTCTTTAACCATTGTTCCACGCACAATTATACTGCTCTCTCTACTTTATCTTTTTTTAATTGGCAGAAGTTTGTGTCCTTCACGTAATGAATATTGAAATATTAGATGTCTCTATTATCGATGGCATCCTATGATGATTTGTGCTACTCTGCTAGGTTCAAACGATACAAATAATTGTGTGCCTACCATAATAGTTTAGCACCGTCGTGGTCTTGTAGTACAAAAGTTACTTACTACCCATTACTAGTCGCTTTTTTCCAAAAGAATCTGGTTTTTTGGTTTTCCTGGACACCTAATGAATTACTGTCCCTATGTGGTTATTTAAAAAAAATTGCTTAAATCATATTTCGGTCTATTTTAAGATAATTTGAACTATCTTTGGGCTTTAGCAATTGGCTTTATGACAAAATGCTCGCTCTTTTCCTTGGTGCTTGTTGTGAAGCATGTTTTTACTCTTTTAGCCTTAGAAGTAGCCAGGAGATCTGCCTGATTATTAATACATTGTTCTGCTAATCTTGCCTTGGGTGGGCAAATTTTAGAAATTTTCTTGCCGAAACTTGATATTCTACTTTACCATCCAGACTTACAAAGTTCTCCGATTTCCTTCCGTGGATATTAAGATACTCTTGATTAAAGCCAACAATGCAGTAGTTCTGGTTGATCTTTGGCCTGGTTTGAATCTTGATAAGATAAGATCAGCTACTCCACAAATTTTCAAATCAATTGATATATGAAGCAATGTGTGTGTGTGTGTGTGTGTGTGTGTGTGTGTGTGTGTGTGTGTGTCCCTCTATAAATTTCTTTAACCAATAATATTTTTTAAAAAAAATTCTTAGCTTATTTTTATAATTAAGTATTCTTGGTGTTTTTCCTCCTCCGTGAAAAATGAAAAGAAAAACTCTAAAAATATAGAAGTTCTGATTATTTTTTAAATCACGAAATACTAAACAATCAAAACTGAAAAGGAGAAACTTTTGAAAAGAAAGAAGAGAGACCAAAGTTGGATGTCTAATATGAAAAAAAAACTTAACGAAGAACGTATCATAAGGAATGTTTGTTCAATGGGAATGATTTAAACAACTATATTGACAAAATTATGTATTGAATAAAGTTTAAAAATATATAAATTTAAATTTTAAATTCACTAGTTTTCGTGGTCCGCTTGATCAATTAATATCTTTCAATTAAGAGAAGAGAGTGAAGTCATGATAGCTAAAGTGGTAGAGCAGCGGCGTATCTAGCCGAAGGTCGTGGGTTCGAATCCCGCTCGTGACATTGTCTTTTTTATATCAACTAAAATCCTTAATTAATTATATTTTAAATAATAATTATCTTTAGCCCCAATATACTCTGATATGTATCTGAGTGTGTGTGCTGTGTTGTGTGTGTATTTATATGTTTTCTCTATTCATTTCGTCTTTCCTTAATTTAAAAGATTTATTTTTACTTAAGAAAGAAATAAAATTGTAAGCCAGAAAAGGATTAAAGAAATTGCGGCCAAAGTACAAAACATTAAAAAATATTATGTAATAAAACAATAAAAAGTGCAAAAGAGACACTTTTAGATTAATTCTGTATAATCTAACTGAATATTTCATCGAAAATACAATAAACCAAGAGAAACAACAATGCAACAATCATAAGGAATATTTTTCGATATATTTAAAAAATATTTACAAAATTTTTTAATTAACGTTGCAAACAAAAATCAGCCTCAAAATTACATAACATAAGCGTAATAGTTCAAATTTAAAATTTAAATTTTAATTATCGTTGTCTGTTTATCTGACTCTACCTCCTACTGCGCTATTGTATTTAAAATTAGGATTGAAATTCCAGTACAGAGGAGGGTTCGCTTGTTTATCACAGAAATTTTGACTCGATGGTCCGTGCTTTCTCGCTTTAGCTCTTCAGCCAGACAGTTTTTGTCAATTCTTGGGTACCAATCTATTATTTTTTCTAAATATTTTCAGAAGTGCAGTAAGTATAGAAAAAATTCATACGAAATAGCATTCTTTAACAGAATATGATACAATTATCCTTTACCTATGTGATTAAAAGAAAAACATTGTTATCGGAGGAATGAAAGAAAGCATGCTGATGTTATGAGACTTTGAAATTAAGAAGTGCCTTAATTGGTTTAAAATCTTGGAAAGTTTCTTCCAGTCATTGTTTTAATTGGGATTTTTGTACCTTCATCCATTTAAGAAGATAAACAAGCCGTGGCCGCTCAATGGAGATGCTTAATTGATACATCGATTACACAACAACCTGCTGGAGAGGATTGAAAGTTAAACAAGAAGAAAGTAAAGCCGGGTAAATAAAAGAAAGAAGAAAATAAAAAACGTGGGTAAGGCGTGATTGGAAGGACGGGTGAAGGTCGAGCGGAAGAAAGTTACCTCAGCGTGCTTAGTTCACCCCTGTAATAAATCGTATCACAATTACCAATTTACGTAACGCAAACTTTACCGTTATGGCCGCGTGATGTGAACCCAATTTACATTGAATAACACGTCGGTTTCGAAAGTTTGTCATCTTCAGATAAATACGTATAATTGTCAAACTTTCTTTGCAATAAGGATAAGAAAAGGCTTTTAAGCTATTTTGTGGAAAGTCTGTCGAAGGTGCCTGTTTATCCATTTTATCGGAGAAAAACAGATATATCTACAAATTTGTTTTGTTTTTCTCCAAAATAAATCGGCTATTATTTAACCGACGACACGAAGATTATATCATCAACTTAAGAGTCCCAACGAAGAACCTGTTTCACTGAAGATTTACCGACATTTAAGGCTCCAAAAAGCTGGCCACTTCCATATCGCCATAGGTTAAAACGGAGATTATGTTATCAACCAAGAAATAACATAAAAGATTACACCGCATAACGACAAGGATGTGATAAATTAAATGTTTATTTCTACTGCGAAGGAATTAAGGTGAAAAATGAGGCTGCCCAGGGAAAAAAATATACAACTCCATGTGTTTCTTACTAAAATAAAACATAAACTTTTATCAATGATAATGAACACTGCCTTTTTGCCAACGGGCCACGAATCAGCTTGACAAAAATCTAAAAGTTAAATAATTTCAAATTCCAGGTAAAATACAAGGCTTGGATGTTGGAGGTATTTTTTAATGCGTGGAAAAGATAAGTGTGTCGCTGCGAATGTATAAAAACAACTAAAAACTTTAGGATTTAATATCGGAAATGTATTTGTACAAAGTAGAGAGCCTAGGGTGTTTCCTTGCGGCACTCAAACTCAAACAAGGAGAAAAGATACATGCACCTTGTACAATTTGGCAATGTTTCCTTGCAGTACTCCAGCTCAAACTCAGAGTATATCTGCACCGTGCATGCCTGTACATATAGGACAGCTATCTTAGGATACTCCCTTGCAGTTCTCCTGCTCCTTCAAGAAAGAAAGTCGTCTGCACCGTTTAAGACTTTGGAATACCTATCGGACAGGGAGGATATTACAAGCTTACAAGGAATAACAAAGCAGTAATCAGTAAAATGTACACATTTTTAGTTATAGATTACTCTCAAGTAATTCCAGGAGCAACATGAGAGAAGTCACTCACAAGAGATCTCATGGCCGTAACCACTTCAAGATAGGCTAATACTTAAATGGAGTTGAATGCTATCCAGTTAGGGAAGGATCAAGATTAGATGATAGGATGACGTCTTAAACAAAAGAGCATATAATATTGTTAGGTAGAATAGGAATCTCAGTTGTGAATATTGTATATAAGAAAGGCCCTAAGATGCTGCCCTGGGGGACGCTCATTGTAATAGGAATATAAAAAGGAACGCATCATCTTAAAAGTTGTGGAATTTTTTAAACATGTGTGAACGGAAGGAGGTTCTCGAGTTGCAACAGCAAACCAGGGTCTATATCCAACGAAACTTGGGACAGCTCGAGCAATATTGGTTCTGCTCAAGAGATGATGAGATAGAGAAGAGAAGAGGAGGCCACAAGGCCTTCTTCACCGCGACCTGAGTAGATTGTGCTCGCTGTTTTTTACAACTCACTGGCACAGGTTGTTAATCAGCATCCATAGCCTAGCCAGCGGCTCCTTATGTAGGATCTTGCTTGGGGTTTTTCCTGTCCTAGTTGCAAGAATCTGCTCTTACATAGACCTTCAAAAAAAAAACATAAAATGTGTTCTGGAGCTTTCCACTTCTTCTGGTAGTATCTGCACAGTGTTTCTTCTGTCTGTACTCATATCCGGTGCATGTGCTTTCTTATATTACAGTGTCCTTAGGAGTCCAACCAGAATCCTGGTTCGGTTGCGGTTGTCTTCCTGTAATTCCTTTGTAAGTTTTGCATATGGCCCTTCTATGAATCTTTTCGCATGCTTCATGCCTGAGGTATTGTTCCACCAGGTTTTGGGCTCATTAAGGATCTGGTAGTAAGGTATGATATTTCAGCTTTTGATATCAAACATTTTAGGACAATTTTTCCTAGGGCATCATTTTAATTGCGGAATAATTCCTACGTACTAGAACTGTAGTCCCTTTGGTACGGGAAGGTTCGGGTGCTCTCCGTCGGACCTCCCCTCCGGGTCATACGAGGACACCGTGCAATTCGATAACAAAAATTGCAAAATATCATAAGGACGAAGAAAAAAAAGTTTATTCGCTTGTCGATTATAGTCACTTTGGCAACAGAAAATAAAAGAGGAGACGAAGAAAAATAAGCTTGTAGGTTTTTCGAAATTATCATTGTTATTGATCATCACTGTTAAGGTCATGTTGCGGATGTCGATAATTCATAGTATTAAGCAAAAGATTTATTGGCTTTGGA